GAGGAGGAAGGACGCGCGGCTACCTTGCTGCGGCCTCTAACGGCCCCCCGCGAGCGCCGCCTTTCCGAAGCGCGCTCGCGGCTGCGTGTTTGCTTTTCCCGAGGCCGCCTTTTCCGGCCGAAGTTTAGGGCCAATCTGAATAGCCCGTTTTCTCGCTTGACAGCCCCGCGAGCTGCGGGACTCAGACCCCCCAGGTCACACGGCCCCCTTTGCCCGCCCCGGCACGGCGCTTGCCTTCTAGACCCGGAGGCTGCACCGTGGGCTGCGCTAGCGCGTGATCTGTGCTTTTCAAGAAATGCAAGCAGCCGCAGCCCTGGTTAACTTTCAGCGAGAAGCCTTTAAGGTGCTTTTTCCTCGAGCGCTCCATTACTGTGGTTTGGGTCGGAGTACTCTGCTGAGCTCAGAATTTAATTATGCTGGCTTCTCGAATTGTTTCTACGGAGTTAACTTGAAGGAGATGGGGTGGTATCAGCCTCGGGAATGGAAGAGGGCCAACTTTCCTCGGTGTGGGTAAACGTTAGCACTGACTCGTCTACTTAGTAGCGTACAGCCAAGTAGTTTAGTTTAGGTTTATTAAGACAGGACTCTACAGTGTTCCCGATACCGTAACAAACTTTCCAGCATGTTGCTTTTATTTTGTCTGCTTAGAGAACCGATATAGGCAAATGCCTTACTTCTGATTATTTGAGGCTGAAGTGGAATGGTTTTGTTAAAAGCTACCTGGAGAAAGTGGTAGGGGTTAATTAGGTAAGTAGGGAGGTATTTAGAAGGCTTTAGTTGACGTACATTTTTGAAAGTCTTATACTCTTAGGATCTGTTGGACCGATGCTAGGATTTATGTTTATCTTTTTGTCTCCAGTCGCATGTGTGAATTCAAGCATTTCTTGAAGAGCTGGACTTCTGGGATCCCATTTTCTGAACTCCGACGTACGGTGTATTGATAAATAAATTTTCTAGTGTGTGCTTCAAAAATCTTAACCATTGCCTTGGTTGAAAATGATAATTAAAATACGTGAACTAACATTTGGAAAAGCTAGTGTATATAATTACCTTCCCGAGTAATTTAAGAGCCAGGCAGAAATAGGCCCTGGAGTTGTATTAGGATTAAAAAAGAGTCCACCGCAAGTGACTGGGGAGACCTTGGGGAAATAGACTTGTCCAAAACAACTATAATACAATTTTAAATGGTAGGTACAAAGTATCCACTGCCTATGTGTACCTGTATACGTGTGTATAATTTTTTTATCGTAGTGAAATATAAAATGTACCATTTTAACCATTTTCAGTGTATTCTATCCATGCTGAATAGCATGTGTATTATTCAACCCATGCTGAATATTTTTTATTATCTTTGACTTGTCTTACTTCAGAATGGATTTGAGTTTGCTGGTGTGCACATAGTAGGTGATCAGTAATGGTGGAATTAAAAATTATTTATGTACTGACTTAGTACAGCCAGTGAGCATTCTTTATAAAAACACATATAGATATTAGAGAAAATGTTCACATTTCAGCAGTACGGAATTTAAATGCAGGAGAGACATAAAGTCTAACCCAACTCTTACTATGGATAGAAAAAAATAAGCCACCATTTAGCTAATAAGGAGCAAGACATTATGACTTGGTGGCAGACACGGAGATCAGAACCTAATTCTCCCGCTTGCCATCTGTACTTGGTTACACTATCCTTTAAAACAGAACTCCTGGGCTAAGGGTGTAGCTTAGTGCTAAGAGTATTTTCTTCGCATACTCAAGGCCCTGGATTCATCCCCAGTACTGCAAGGATCCTCATTCAAACTGAAAAAGTATTATACTCCCTCAAATTTTTGCCATAGAAAAATTTAGTATTAAATATTGATAATAATTTTAATTTCACAGCTATAACTTCCAGTCTCCTATTATGTTTTATTTTGTTCTTTAGGGTGGTTACATCTTTTGAAAATGGGCAGGGGGCCAAGAGATAGAGGAAGGGGAGGATATGGGATGTAAGAACAATTAAGATGTGTTATCTACATGTACCAACCCCTCACTGTGAATGTAATCATATACACTACAAACATGTACTAAAAAAATTAAAAACATTTAATTTCACCAATCACATATAAATGTAAGCAAGAAATATATAAAATTTTAAAAGTTATGGGATTTTCTGAAATTAGCTCTGCTCAGGCAAGTACTACAACAGAAAAGGGAGGCAAACACAACATAAAAATACTTGATCATCTGGAAAATGGGATAATTTAAACAGCAAATTAAGCTATAAGATATTACCAAGCACTTTGCCTGTGTTCAGGGGGAAAAAAGGGTAATAAGCCATGGATCATACTTACCAGACTGAAGCGCACTTAAAAAAGTTTTTATGGAAATGCATATCATGCTGATGCAGGCTAATTGTATTCAGTTCCTCTTTACAAGTTATATTCTAATTTATATTAATAATAAAAAAAGTTCTTTTAAGTTTCCGTTTAAGAAGTTAAAGAGTTTGAAAATCTATCTTTGTATTATGCAGGTACTTTTAAAAATTTTTCATAGATATTTTAAAGTTCTTTGAGAAGTAGAAATGACCAAACAGGGCCGGGGATGCAGCTCAGAGGTGCAAGTGCCTGCCTGGCAAATGCAAGGTTCTGAGTTTGATTCCTAATAGCAAAATAAAACAAGACAACAGATCACCAAACATAAAAATAACAATTATTAGTCAGATAGAAACTTAACCTTTTTTTCTTTTCCAGTGCCGAGGCTTGAACCCAGGGCCTTACACACTAGACAAATACTCTACCACTGAGCTATCTCCCTAGCCAAACATTTTGAGACAAAACCACTAAATTACCCACGCTGGCCTCAAACTTGTGATCCTCCTGTTCTAGCCTCCCTTGGGGATGGGATTACAGCTGTCACCTATCCTGGTCTATTTTCCTTTAATTGTAGAACAAATATCATGGAAAATTACAGTAGAGGTAATTTGACTTTTTAAAAAATTTCTGGTGCTGCAGAAGCAGATATTTAAGTATTTATATGAGGTGGCTATATATTTAGAGACTCAGGAACCTTTACTTTGTGAGCCACATTTTTTATTGCCTTCCACTGTATATTTCCTTTTTTTTTTTTCCTTATTGCTTAGGAAAATGTTTGAAAAGTCAAACTCCCTGCAGTATTCCCGAGAATCAAAAGAGGGGTTCTTGTGTTTTTATTTTGCTGTTTTGTTGTTTCAATGTTAGTGTTAAAACAAAAAGTGACCTCCCACCAATACACACACTTCCAAGAGAACAGAGGGAAATATCAGTGAAATAACAAGTGAATCCCAAAGGAGAGACAAAGCTCAGGAACCTAGACCTAATTGATTATCACCTTTTTTTATTCTTTTTTAATTCTAGGGTTTTTAATCCTAGCTACTCAGGAAGCTGAGGTGGGAAGATTATAAATTAGAGGCTAATGTAGGCAATTTAGTGAGACTGTCTCAAAATAAAAAAATGTAAAGGTTGGGACTGCTAGGGATATAGCTCAACAGTAGAGCACTTATCTAACGTGTATTCAGTCCCTAGTACTGCCAAAAAAAAAAAAAGCTTTGAGAAATTTTACCCTTGTACATGCTATAATTTTCAGAAGGTTCTTAGAAGTCAGCAATACAGGGTAGATTCAGCTGAATGTCAGTTCAGTTCTGACTTTCACTGAGAATTCCACATCTCCAGAGTAAAGCTTTCTATAGTCTTCTTGACTCTGCTTAATTTAGTGTACCCTCAGGGCATAAGCCTGAGTCTAGCAGACCCATTCTTACCTTTCTACCATGAATTTGTACTTTAGCGGCTGTGCAGCTCCTTATCTTTCCCTGAGAGATACTGAAAGCAGTATATGTATTTACCCGCTTGTTGTGATGAATGACAAGGACTGTGCATGTATGCAAATGTGGCAACAGGGTTTGGACTCACCTTCTGTTCTGGCTAACTGGTTTTATGTATGTTTACCCAAGCATCACAGAGGGTCCAGTAGACCCATGTTACTCCAGGATTTGTTCAAAAAAAGTTTTCATTTGCTTTTTCTGGTAGAAGTAGCCCAGTTCAGTAAAATGGCACATGAAAAGCCAGATTGGCAAGTTTTGGAGGAGGTCAAAAGGCAAATATCAGATTACACATGCATGGATGATGAAGGCGATGAATTGTGTTAAAATGAATGTTTCATAACAGAGAGTGGTGTGGGTTATGATGACAATGATGCTGAAGACTTTGACGTTGACCATGTGAGCCGAAGTTCTGAAATGCAGCAAGAATCAACTCATACAGACACAAGGAATGCAGACCTCCTTGATTCGGATGACATACAAAACAGCAATGTGAGGACATGTTTGGTTAGTCAAAATGTTGCAAAATGGCCATGCAACCTAAAGGAACTGTCCAGTGTTAGAATTAGGTCCAAAAATATAGTGATGGTCTTGGCAGGAGTGAAACATACTGGAAAGAATGCTGACACTCTCATTTGGTGTTGAAAATTGTAACAGATAAAATGCTACAGGATTCTGTGAAATACACAAAGGCTGAAATGCAAGTGAAACATTCTGTCTACACCAGTAGTCATACTCAAAAATGTTTTTTATTATGGCACCTCACTAATTGAACGGAAAGTACCCATGGGACTGCTGTACTTAGCACAGATTTCTTGTGATTGCAGGACTGTAAAAGACTTATGGAAAAGCGATGAGTCAAAATACGGCATAAAAATTTATGACTTTGTACATCCTATGGCTTAGTATGCTTTCAGTTTAGTCATTTATCCTAGAATTCAGCCATCAGGTCCTTAGTTAGTAATAAACCCAATGATGTGAGCAGACTTGTTGCTCCCATCTCACAAACTAGTGGGAATGTGGCCTTCAATAATTGTTTACCAGTTTCCGGTTGATGTAACATTTGCCAATAAAGCACAAGCTGACCAGCATGGGAACTGTACACAGGAACAAAATCCAAATGAAATGTTGCCATTTCAAACAAGAGAAGGGCCTGGGATATTGCTTAATGGCAAAAGTGCCTGCCTGGCAAGGATAAGGTCCTGAGTTTGATTCCTGGGTACCCCCCAAAAATTAATAAATCAAAATGGAGAATTGTATAGTACAGTTTTTGGATTTCAGAAAGATAACATTGGCCTCATATATGGCAAAGAAAGACAAACTGGTATTGTTGATATCAACATTGCACCATGATGGAAATACTGATAGGGAAACCTCCATAAAACGGAAGCCTGGGATGGAAACTTGCAGCAACAAAATCAAACGCAGACTAATTGTTGATGATGAGCTGTGCAGCAACTATGATGTCACTTGAGACACAAAACATTAGCCAGTGGTTGTGTTTTACTAAATCCTAAATGTGTAGCTTAGTTTGATAGCTTACAAAGAAAATAACAAGTACAAAATATCAAAGAGAAATTTTTGTAGAAAATTGGGACTGGAGCTCACAGAGATCACTTATAGCAGAGGAAAAACAAAATGTTTCTGCCCGGGGAACTACACAAAAAATTGTGGAACACACTGGTGAGCTGACAGGTGAACAGGAAGGCACAGCATTACAAACACCTACTACAACAACAGGAAAACAAAAAAGAGATCAACTGTGCCCTACAAGAATGTACAGGAAAACAAAACATACATGCTAACAGTGTAAGGGATACTTGTATGTAGGCGGTGAAGTCTTGTGAAGACTGCCTTAGGTGTGATAGTTGAAGCAAAGCTTATTTTTGTGGTAGACTTTTGTTTGTGTTTACATAGGTTCACATAGCTTTTTATTTTTGATGACATCTTTAGTTTTTTTTTTTTTTTTTTTTTTTTTCTAATTTGAGGAATCTCTAGGGTATCTCGAGGTCAGACCCGTATTTCTTTTCATTATAACAAGTATCATGCATTTTTACAAGGAACTAAATATTTTGCAGTGGATCGGCAGTGGCCTATTGTTACATGGGTGTTTTTTCACATAGTAAGGTTTCTTTTTCAGATGATC